TTTTCGTCAAACACAAATCCAAAACGACCGGTGATTGTTGCGTTTTTAAATTCCTCCGGCGTAGTGTGGACGGAAAACACTTGATGCGTTTTCAGAGTAAAACCTACGTTTTCAAATTCTTTTGACGAAGTGTGGACGGGGCGTTAATCTTACTAAACGTTCGTGAACATCCCTCCAGCTGAACATGTAAAAGCAACAGTCCATTCCAAATATGAAAATGATAAAAAATAACTGCGTTTTTACGAAACGAAAGGTTTACGAAATGTTCCACAAAAAAACGTTTGCAGGCGTTGCGAATTTCGAGATGCGTACAAATTTAGGGCGCTTTCCATTCAGCCAAATATTTCGAAATGGGGTTCAGAAAATCAAGAAATTTTTGGATTTCCAAAAAGCGAAGCACTCAACCGAAAATTTCGGAAATTCTGGGAGCAGAATCAAATGGAATGGAAATTCCCGGCAAGAATGAATATCTGAAAATTTCGGAATACTTCGCTAGGTATTGGCCTTCGAGAGCAACGGGGAGAAAGAGCCTATTGTTAGGCGAATTTTACCAGTGTTTATGGTTTGTATTTTCATTTTCATTTCAGTAAACAAAGCGAAAGTGATTAAGAGGCAGTCGGTTTTTGATCGCCTGGGAAATGAAAGCCCTCCGTTGAAAGAGAGTCCCAAAGAACCAGAAAAGAAGACCGAGGTTAAAATGTTGAAACCTCTGAAAACAAGTGTTACGGTACAGTTGAAGGTAAGAACTATTACCTTATGGGTGACTTTTGGGATTAACGCCACCTTTTTTGCATTTGAAGAATGGTATAGGATGGCTAAACAGACTTCCTTATATCTGTTAGTGCGCCTATCACGAATCTTGTGCACCCAGTACGTAAGTCCTTAAGGCCGGATTCAAATAATTGTAATCCGATACCTCGCGTTAAGGTCGAATGTGTTTATCAAACACTTGACCATGAGGGCCTGGCTTATTTGAGAAACTTTAGAGTTCATGTCGCTGCTCTGCGCAACAAGTTTCTTTAAAATTTTTATTACGATTTTTGTCGTGTCTACAAGCAGGAAAAAAGGCAGTCAGACTGAAAGAGTAAAAGTCTGCGTTAGGCCAGTGGCCCATCAGACCGGAGCTTAACCCGGTTTCTGTAGCATGAAACGACTAGGAATATTTCTACACCCCCCCTGGATCGGATGCTAGTCCATCGCAGGGTTACCCCCAGCATTAAGTTCGCCGGTACCCAGTTATACACCTGGGTGGAGAGAGGAGCTGTGAGAGTGAAGTGTCTTGCCAAGGAAGACAATGCAATGTCCCCGGCCGGGACTCGAACCCAGACCGCGCGATCCGGATTCCAGCGTGCAAACCATTACACCACCGCGCCTCCCCAGAGTGAAAGAGTGAGTTAAACATAAGTATGTTTTTATTTCTTCGTAGGATAAAGCACAAGGATCAGTCTTCAGTCGTCTTGGTGGCTTGGCAACGACCCCAGAACCAACAACAATTCAAGCAGTGAACCCAAGAATTCGAATCCCTTCAGGCGACAAGGCTCCTGGCGCGATTGACTACACAAGTCACAGTGTACTCCAACCGGTTAAACGAAAAGGAGAACCAGCTAAACCGGTCAAACCAGTAAAACCGGTCAAGAGATCCATAGGGCTTATGTCAGATGGAGACGAAAAGTCCGTTTTTGCGCGCCTGGGTTCGAAAGTGTAAACTTGTTTCAACTGGTGTTGTGAAACGGAAATGCAATATCATAATATTCCGTGTGGAGTATGATGCGGGCTTTTATTGGCGCTTGTCGCTGCTACACGAGGTTAAGTTCTTATCGAAGTGACTGTTCATTTTAGCAGAGTTATAGCGTCGTTATTTTAACTGATGGTTTGCGCTTTCTATCAGGAAATCCTCGTCGCTCTACACTATAGCTCGAATTCTCCCACGGGTGAGTTTGTTGAGTCGGAAATGCCGAATTCTATTAACACTCCCGGGACAAAAATATTTTGTTGTTTCAAACGAAATGACTCTTCGTTCTTACATAGCGCGAACTTTTAATGTTACCGAATTCTAGTTACAAGAAATATAATAAAACTAAGGAAAAAGCAATTTGAGTTGACTTATAAATATGGAGCACAATGGCAGTTCCCGGCAGCCATATTGGTCTCCCCAAAAAACGAACCGGCAGTCGTTTTGGTGTACCAAACCAATTCTGTGGGAGTTGAACTCTTTCCTTTTGTTCCAATAAATTTGCATGGCTGCATCGAAATACTGGGGTCTGATTGGCTGTCAGCAGGTTCTATTTAGCATCTTACTGGTCAGTTTACGCGTCATGCTTTCTATTATTAGACAGTGCGCGTCATTTTTGTGCGCTGCTTCAAGACAGTTGCGCTTTGATGCGAAATAAAGCTAGACAAGTATAACAGTTGTTTGAAGTACGAGTAACCTGATCCTGTACTGACTTCAATATCAAATTTTAAAAACTGTAACTCGGGCTTTCTGCTTGTTTTCGGCATCGATTAATCTCGAACTCCTTCCCAAAAGTGCTATCGTACAAGAAGCAGTTTCAATTCTAAATTGTAGTAAAATCAAACACCTTGCCCAGCTATCAATAACTAAGGATTAAATCACGTTGGAACCCCGTTCATTCGGTCATCAACGGGCCACAAAATCTGGCCGTATTGAACGGACCCTTTCAATAAGGAAATGACCGACTGAGCTTTTTTCGGGCCAGAATGAAGTGGCCGTATTAACGGGGTGGTCGTAAGGCGGGGTTTTACTGTACAGATCTGTACACCTTTCTTGAAATTACAACCAATCAACCATGCAGCTGACGCGAAGCGCGGGAATACATGCGAGAGTTACGACTGGTTTTGGTTTTACAGTTGGTCCCCGCTAATTCCAACTAGCTTATTTCGAATTCCCGTTATCACGTACTCACAAACCATTTTCCTTGGATTTGCCCTTCAGTCAATTTCTATCAGCCATTTTGAACTCCCGTTATTTTAGACTATTTCTCGTTTTCCCTGACTCAGGGAACCCCGCTATTTCGAACTCCGAGTGTCTGTAGTTCTTATTGCGTGATAAAGTGACGCAAGTTTTTATCAAGTTAATGGCGTAGTGAGGTAATGCAAAACCAAAGTAAATGCGAATCACTTCAGCAACAATAGAGTGAAAACCGCTCGAACTTGAAGTTACCTCATTGATTTATTTGTTTCATCTATTTGATAGCAAGGGGCTTTATTAGAGGCGGGGGCTATCTCAAAACTAGACTACAGTACATCACATGCGATACAAACAAAGGTAAGAAAAACTAGCCAGAACAGTGGCAGTGATATGAGACCACAATACAGTACTGTGAATGATTCAATATAAAGGCCTCACCCATGAGTAAAAGTTGTTTTTCTTCAACAATTAAGAACCTGATTGAGAACCTACGTAGTCTAATTTCACAGTAAACACCATTTAACTAAGAACCTATGGAGGCTAACTTGAAAAAATTATTGGGTTCTTATACCCGGATTTTTACTGTAGTAATTGAACTAAGTGAAGAACAAGTGAGCGAATAATTAGCCAAGTTCCGTAGCCGAGTTTCTTGTTGACCGAGACATGACGCACCCATAACGCAAAGAACAGGCAATTTAAACGATAAAACACTTTATTTGTCATTTGTTTTCGGATCCCGAATTATTCGTTTCTGAGATCCTGCACCTCGGAAAAAGTAAAACTTTCACAAATTAATTAAATATTGTTTTTCTTTTTTTTTCCAAGACCTTGTCGTCTCTGATTCCATCAGAGATCATTTGTTCGAGTGCTCTAAGAAATATTATTTATTGTTCCACATTGGTGAGCACTGCAAATAAACACGAGACAATTGAACGATCTAGACTTAATTGCGATGAGGCGACCATAAAACCAACAATTAATATCATGAACGGTTGGGTGTAGAACTCGCTTGGGGCCTGGGGCCTTGCGGAGGAGGCGGCGGCATAGGTCCACCAGGTCGAGGCAAGAACATGCGAGGAACTGGGGAGAGAAAAGGAAAGTGGGTGTTACATGACGTATTAGATTGGTTATGTTACTTGTCAAGCAACGAGTAACAAAAGCTTCCGAGATGCGAAAGACGTTTGACATTCAATTTATTGAGAAATAACATAAATAATAGTAGTACTCAAAAGAAATTTGTGTAGTCTCTTGTAATGGGTGTTGCTCGCGCGCAAAAATAAGAATACTGGGCAGAAGTTGATGGGCGAATATTTTTTGATGTTAAGGGTTACTTTGGGTAGAAAGGACATCACACTACAGACGAATTGACTCCGAACGTTTTAAATTAAATCCTATTAAAACTTGACAATTGGCCAAAGGTATAGCTCTTTGCGTGAAATAAAGAGGGAGTTGTTAGCTTTCAACAACTGCAACAAGGTGGCAAAAGCGCCAATGACCTGACAATGTTGGTAAAACATTGACTTTTTTGAACCAGCCTCACACAGAAAATACTTAATTCATTGGGTTCAAACTTCTAGGGACATTTCAATGTACCACGCCCTTTAAACATTCAGTCTGATTCGCTCGCTAGTGGTATGAGATAATTCTCGTAGACATAGAGTAACCTATCAGAGACACTAGACTTCTGTTCTGAAACAGTCATTCTCAGAAAAACTGGCATGTCAACCGGGAAGTCAAAGCAGTATGCATTATAGTCACTGTTTACAACCCAGTACAGTAGTTACTTACGAGGTCCACCTGGCGGTGGAGGCATCATCGGTCTAGGTGGAAACATAGGCATTCTCATCATAGGACGGAGTGGTGGAGGCCCATACCCTGACATGGGTGGAGGAGGAGGAAGTGCTCCATCCTTGCTGTCTTGTACAAATGAATCAGAACGATCGTCTGTTTTCGAAGACTGAAAACAAAAGGAAGGATTAGTTTAGCAGGAGTCCAAAATCAAATCTTGCGATTCTTCACGTCTTTGCAAGAAATTCATATCTGACGCAACCGCTTATTTTTAATCAGGAATGCAAAAAGGCTGCACTTGCGATTTTTAGGATCCAGAATCTACGTCAAAGAATTGTCGAACGGACAAAAAAAAAAAAAAAAAAAAAACCGAGAAAGTGCAACATATGGAGACTGCGAAAAATTTACGCTTGTCTTAAACTGCAAGTAAAGACTTGCGACACGGGAAAAGGCGTGTTTCTCCAGTGTCAAGTGTAAGTTACGACGCGACTCTCGGAAATACAAATGAGAAGTATTTTCCCTCATTCACAGAACGCCGTAATTTCTACTAAGATCCATCTCTAATAAAACTCTTCAACGATTCCAAGCTTACACTGTACTTTCTTTTCACCAAGTGTAAAGAATTTTATTATATAGCACACTAAATGTTCGAAAAATTCTCTTGTTTTCTTCAAAACTGAACGAGACCTTGATTTCAAAGGACATTTCCCTGCAATGATTGTGAACACATGGAAGAAAAACATAGACGGCCGAAAAGTTAAGTTCGAGCACGCCATGAATCTTTCAATGAGCATAACTGCTTTGAACACATCATGTGTGAATCTCCTCTACTAAATAGATATCGAGAAGTGAGGAGATAAACACTAACCAAGTATTCACAGCGAACATACCTGAGCAGTGGCTGCATTGGTCATCGGAGGTGGTGTAGCATGACCTCTGCTTGCGGGGCCTGGTGACGGAAAAGGTGGTCGAGGTGGCGTCATACCCAGCATGTCTGCAGGATGAGGTCTCCGCTGGCCAGGAAACATAGAAGATGGAGGAGGAGGAGGCGGAGGACCTGGAAACCAGTGAAAACGTTCAGTTACACCTGTGCATAGCTAGCAGTGGTAAGGGGTAGGGTGGGGTGGAGGAAAGGCTAACAACTGAGATGGGAAGTCACTGGTGAAGAGAATTGGATTATGGAGGAAATGGCAATCAGTAATAACGAGAAGAGAGGGAAAATAATGGACGAATTAGGTAAAGCGGAAAAAAGAGAACACAATGATGAAGGAGTCAGGTGGTGTGAAAAATCAGTATGGAGCGTTTTCACTCATGTGGCCAGCAGCCACGCAAATTTATTGAAACAAAAGAATTCCCACCCACAGGATTGGTTTGGTACACCAACATGGACGCTGTTTCATTGTGTTGGGACACCAACATGGGTGCCGTGACGCCATGTGGAAATACTCTACTGGGGGGTCGGTAAGTAAGTACAGGCAATTATCAGTGATGCCGGAGGGGGAGGGGAGGCGTTAATAATCATTAAGCAGTACAAACTTACCCATCATAGGAGGGGCAGTGAATGGCACAGGACTACCATGACCCGGAAGACCAGACATAGGGCTGTAGATTGAAAAACAAGCTTGTCAACACAATAACGAAAAACCATAGAGACCGAGAAGCACCAAAACTCAGCTTGTTGAAAAACACAGCTTGTCAACAGAATAACGAAATAGCATAGAGACCGAGAAGCACCAAAACTCCTCGACTGAAACTTCCACTACATTTGAGTTCCGTGGAGTAAAGAGCG